AGTGCTGGGATTACAGGCTTGAGCCACCGCGCCCGGCCTATTTCTTGAAAATCTATCTGTTAATGTAGATATGCTGTTTATTTTGACTTGTATTTGTTTCATAGTGTTTTTTTTTTCATTTTTTTATCTTTGTTTCTAGATTACAAGTATTTCTTATGAACAGCATATGTCTCAATTTTAAAGATTTGCCTTTTAAATAGAATAAGCCTAATAGTTGAATTTATTATAGTAATTGATACCTGGATATGTTTTTATAATAAATTATTTTTGTTTATTCTAATTTTATTATGCTGTTTTTAATCATTTCTTATTTCTTTTTTGGAGACCGAGTCTTGCTCTGTCACCCAGGCTGGATCGCATTGGCATGATCTTGGCTCACTGCAACCTCCACCTTCCAGGTTCAAGTGATTCTTCTGCCTGAGCCTCCCCAGTAGCTGGGACTACAGGCGCATGCCACCATGCCCGGCTAGTTTTTATATTTTTAGTAGAGATGGGGTTTTACCATATTGGCCAGGCTGGTCTTGAACTCCTGACCTTGTGATCCACATGCTTCGGCCTCCCAAAGTGTTGGGATTACAGATGTGAGCCACTGTGTCTGGCCATTTCTTACTTTTTAAAAAAATAAATTGATATTTAAATCTTACCCCGCTCCCAATAAAATAGATACTTAGAAAGCATCCACATCCCTTGATTCTTCCCCTGATTTCTTCCCTTACTCTTCCCCACTTACCCCCAGTTGACAAAAATCTAAACTAGTGCTACTCAAGGTAGAGTCTGTAGGCTGGTTCTGGTCCACAAGCTTACTGGTTCCCAAACAGAGCTGAGGAACTGCTCCAGAATGTAAATGACCTTTATTATTAGCACACTGTTTAGTTCAGTTGTATTTTGTTTTATTTGTGGCAAGCTTTCTGAATGAAGGAAGCATTATGTTGATTTGTTGAATTAAAACAGCACTTTCAAATATTTTAGTCCAACATTTAATATACTTAGTTATCTTCTTGCATTCATTGTTGTTAAAAAGCCTGATGACACTCTAATTCTTTTTTTTTTTTTTTTTTTTTTTGAAAGAGTTTCACTCTCATTACCCAGGCTGGAGTGCAGTGGTGCAATCTGGGCTCACTGCATCTTCCGCCTCCTGGGTTCAAGCAGTTCTCCTGCCCCAGCCTCCTGAGTAGCTGGGATTACAGGTGTCCACCACTATGCCTGGCTAATTTTTTTGTATTTTTAGTAGAGACAGGGTTTTACCATGTTAGCCAGGCTGGTCTCAAACTCCTGACCTCAGGTGATCCATCTGCCTTGGCCTTCCAAAGTGCTGGGATTACAAGGGTGAGCCACCCTGCCTGGCTGGCACTCTGATTCTTCTTCTTCTTCTTCTTTTTTTTTTTTTTAATGTGTTATGTGCTCTTTCTGACTGAAAGTTTTAGAATTTTCTCCATGATTTTGATAGTCTTATATTTCTCTATGCAGTGTCTAACTCGGTTTTTCCTTTTATTCTCCTTTTGGGCACATTATGGGCCTTTTAAATCTAAAGTTCATTATTATTATTTTATTACTTCTGGGAAATTGATCTTCATTATTTCTTCAAATAATCTTCCTCTTTATTCTTTTTCTCCTTTCAAGGTCTTTTGTTATTCAAATGTTAGCACTCTGGATCCGTCTTCCAAATCTCTTAATTTTTCTTTTATATTTTCTGAATTTTTGTCTTTTATTACTTTTGGGAAGTATCAATATGATTATTTGAATTGGCTATTTATTGCTCAAATGTATCTATTCTATTATTTATCAATTATAACTTTATTTCAACTGCCATATTTTTCCAACCTAATATTTCTGTTCATTTCTTTTTCATATTTAAAAAAAATTTTAATTTTTGTGATAGGGTCTTACTCTGTCACCCAGGCTGGAATAGAGCAATCATGGCTCACTGCAGCATTGACCTACTAGGCCCAAGTGATTCTCCCACCTCAGCCTCCTGAGTAGCTGGGACTACAGGTGCAAACCACTACACTCAGCTAGTTTTTTAAAAAAAATTTTGTAGTGATGGGCTCTTGCTATGTTGCCCTGGCATATCTCGAACTCGTGGGCTTAAGTGATCCTCCTGATTTAGCCTCCTAAAGTGTTGGGATTATATGTGTGAGCCAGTGCCTGGCCTGTTTTCTTGTATGTATGTACATATGTATTTGTTTATTGAGATGAGGTCTGACTATTTTTAATAGGCTGGTCTCAAACTTTGGGACTTAAGCACTTCTCTCGTGTCAGCCTCCCAAGTAGCTAGGACTACATGTGTGCGCCACTGCACTCAGCCCTTATTATTTTACCTTGTTACTGTCTTCCTTTACCTCTTTTCATCTCTTTACCAGGCCAAGCTTAAATTATTTGTCTATCTATTCTAGCTTTCCCTTTTCTATATGAATCTATAATCCAGTTTTTTTTTAAGTCTTTGTGTTCCTCAAATGTCTCATTATTTTGGTCTGTGAACTCATTTTCCCTTGGCAGTATCAGCTTTTCTTTCTGGAAATGTATGTCGGGGAAGGCCCACCCCAATCTGGTCAGCTCTGAGGAGCTCAGGGAGTTGAAGGCTTAACTGAGCTATAGAGTAGAGAGCACCAGGCACCAGAAAATCACAGCTACCCACAGAATAATCCCTAAAGTAAGGTCTAAACCCTCTGTTTAAAGGAAAAAAGCAACATTAAGAGGTATAATTTCTTAGACTGTAAAATTCTTCAGTTCTAGGAGTTTGGAGGTGAGGTAGAGACTGCCTGTGATCAATGAGTTACCATCTGTTTCTCTCCACTCTTTAGAGCACAGAGGTTGCATTGCTGCCCTGATTTTTTTTTTTTCCCCTCCAGAGGATTTCTGGACTAGAAGTATAAATTGTCTTATGGATAGGTAGTCCCTACTTGTCCTAGGACAATTGTGGATGCGGGGAGGATGGGATGGGAAGCAAGAACAGAACTCCAAAAGCCTCCCCACCCTCTTTGATCCTCTCTTTCTTTACAGCCCTTCTGCCCTTTGCCAAAATCAGTTCAGGGAAACACACACCAGTTAAAAACAGCCCCTCCAACTCAAGGTTTTCCATGGTTTTTCCACTTCTCTCTGTTCTCTACAGAATGGAAGCCAACTGCTTCCAGAACTGCTATGAGAAATAAATTTCCACTATTTGTGAATTACTCATTTGAGATTTTTTTTTATAACAGCCTGAACGGATTAATATAATAGTCTTATGTGCCAGTCCACGTCCTGCCTTCTTAGGCCTTCTGTGGGTTCATGCAAAACCTAGGGCTTCCCATTGTACCTAACTTATCTTCCCATGTGATGTCTCTGCCTTCCTTCTTCCTCACTCTGTAATTCTGCCACCTCTTAGTTTTTTTCTATGTGATTCAAGAGGTACTGTATTGATTGCAGAATCTGATAGTGGTTCTTTTGTTCAGGAGAACTACCAACCTTTAGGTTGATAGTTGATGAATATCTTTCCAGAACTTCTCATCATGTGTAGGTATATATGTACTATAGATGTATGTACACACATTTGCACATACATATAATTTAAAAAAATATAGAACCATACATGTGTCTGTATAGTATTTTAACATGTTTGTCTTTTCAGACGACCTTTGGGTGGTTTCAAAAACCCTAGACTTTGAGCTGGATACTTTTATTGCGTGTAGTGCTTTCTTTGGACCATCATCTATCAATGAGATAGAACTACTGCCTTTGAAAGGCTATTTCCCTTCTAACTGGCCCACCAACAGTGAGTATTACTATGCTCATTTTAGTCTATATTTAAAAAGAATGATAGACATAAGATGCACTGTTTGATTAAAGCCAACAAAAAGCACCCACCTCTAGTTCTTACTGTTGTGTACAATGTGTTCCTGAAAATGTGTATGAAAGTTGAATATATAGATATTTCCTTGAGGAAGAATGCTGTGTGTGGGATTGTTTTGTTCTAATTTTCTAATCAGATTGTTCTGATTTTCTGTTTTCCATATATTTCTGTAAAGTAATTGAAGAAAAAATACAACGAAGTGTTTAAAAATTATACAAATACTACTGCATGGCACAAGTGATATGTTAATTAAAGGGAACTGCTGTCTGTGAAGTTGTGCCACTGGGTACTAACTCAACACAGCTGTTCTTGTTCATTTGCTGATGTATGGAAGTCCAAATATGATTTAAATTATGCAATTTATGGGTACCTATTATAAAACAAATGGGCAGATAGCATAGTAATTTAATGAATATGAGTTTGGGATCTCTGTGTGTGTTTAAGAGTTTGTTTTATGTCATGTGCTTAATTTAGTAGCCAAACTCTGAGTTCTGTGGACATTTAACATAGTTTTTATGGTCCATTTTGTTTACATCAAATGTTTATTTTCTGCATCTTCTGTACAGTGGTTGTCCATGCGTTATTGGTTTGTAATGCTAGCACAGAACTGACAACTTTGAAAAACATTCAGGACTACTTTAATCCAGCTACTCTACCTCTAACACAGTACCTGTTAACAATGTAAGTCATTTTCTTTTTACCTTTGAGTCATTGGTATTAAAAAATACTAATCAGAAGTGAATATGAAAATTCAATAAAAATACATTACAAAATGTTGCCAGTGAAATTGTAATTATTTTTCAGACTATGACATTACTGTTAGTAGTTAAAAAGAGAAAAGGGCCTGGGTGCGGTGGCTTACGCCTGTAATCTCAGCACTTTGAGAGGCTGAGGCAGGCAGATCACCTGAGGTCGGGAGTTCGAGACCAGCCTGACCAATATGGAGAAACCTTGTCTCTACTAAAAGTACCATAACTGGGCGTGGTGATGCATGCTTGTATTCCCAACTACTTGGGAGGCTGAGGTTGGAGAATTGCTTGAACCCAGGAGGCGGAGGTTGCAGTGAGTCGAGATTGTGCCATTGCACTCCAGCCTGGGCAACAAAAGTGAAACTCTGTCTCAAAAAAAAAAAAAAAAAAAGAAGAAAAAGAATTAAGCATTATTTTTTATCTATTTATTAATGTTTGAGCTAATGTTACTATAAAGTTTTTCACTTTGTCAAGAAATAATTTAAGGATTATTTCAGTGTTGATTTTATTTGTTATTGTCTGTATTTTTGTACCACAAATTATTTAACATTTAAAGGAATCATATTACAGTTTGAATCCAGTGTGTATATTGATGCTGATTTTATTCTCAATATAGGCATATTTCATTTTCAATTTCTCAGGCACCATGTCCCTTTTTAAGAAATTGGAAGTGGTATTATATTAAATGCATCAAAAATGATAAGAAAAAGTTCAGTTTTCAATTTGGAATGTTATTATCTATCTGTGGTGTTTTATTTTTCTCACTACAATGAAGTCCTAGGTAAAAAAAAAAATCCTTATGATTTCATTATGTTGTTCATCCAATTTGAAATGAATTGAGTTTTCATAGAAATATAAATAAAACCAATTCATGTGATCTAGTTTTACCTGAAATGAGGGCTAGATTAATTATCTCAGTCAGGTTTGGATAATAGAGCATGGGCTTTAAAGTGAGTCTACCACTTATTTGTGGTGTGGTGTTGGGGGAAAGTTTAATATTCTTGTATCTGTATTTTGGATAATTAACTAATTAGTTACTTCCTAATGTTATTGTGAAGATTTCATCAAGTAATATGTAAAATGCTTAGCAGAGTGTCAGCACGTAGTAAGTATTCAACAAACATTAGCTCTCTTCTACCATCCTCAATATTGGTGTATGTATCCATTTATAGTATATATCCACTTACTGTTTGTTTCCATAAAAAATGTTCTCTGTAATGCTTACAAAGTGATGGCTAATTTATGAATTGTTCTACTCGTCTTTTCAAATGCCTCTAATTTTTTTGTTATTTGCTTCATTTTTATTAGGTCTTCGCCAACTATAGTCAGCAACAAAAGAGTCAGTAAGAGAAAATTTATCCCACCAGCCTTCACAAATGTCAACACAAAATTTGAACTACTCAGCCTAGGAGCAACATTGAAGTTAGCTAGTGAGTTGATTCAGGCACACAAGTTAAACAAAGATCAAGCTATAGCTCTAATTCAGATAGCTCAAATGATGGCATCATATGAAAGTGTTGAAGAAGTGAAGGAACTGCAAGCTCATACCCTCCCTATCATGATCATACATGGTAAGACGCAAGAAAGAAAATAATTGTAATTGTTTTCTATTTGTAAGCTTTTATAAATCAGTCTGCTCCTTTATAATTTCCTAGTCAAAAGAGGTTCAAGAATAACTCTAAGTAGAGTTTTTTTAACCTGAACCCATTTTGGTAAACTGTTAGATGAGAACGGAACTGACTACCGTAAAAGGGAGACTTATTAGCTATCTGATAAATGAGTAGCATTATAAACTTATGGTCAGAGTATCCAGGTTTGATCTAGATGTTTACATGTTGCTCTACTAGAATAGATTTAGCTTGATCAGCAAAATCTTTTATTTATTCCTAGTCAGCTCACTCTTCTATCCTTTATATCAGCGATTACAAACCTTAATTCTTCTCATAACCTCATTCTTACCCTTTCTCTTAACCCTAAAGAGGAAATGGAGGCCGTAACAGAAACTGCTTTCAATGTCCTGCCCTGCTTCTCCAATTTATCTAATATTGGAGCTATTCTTACCTCTTGGTTCTGTCAAGTGAAGGAGATTTACTTCCTCCTACTTATAGTAAATAATTCTATATGGATTCTGTTGCCTCTGTAGCACATTTCCTGTCATAGACCTCCATCCCAAAGCTAATCCTACTTTTTTGTCCTATTTTGAGGAATTACATCACATCCACCTTGTTGACCAAATCAAACCTGACTCATCCTAGACTATTCTTTCTCTCAAGAGTGACTCTCTCTTAATCTTCCTCTTATTTTCTCACTATTCATCTCACACCATCAGATTAGTCACTGAGATGTGTTCCTTCTACCTTCTATCTATCTTTCATATTTAGTATCTCTTCTCCAGTGTACTTGTATCTTCTCAGTCCAAGCCTTCATCATATCTCCATGTAGCCTAGTGGATAAGAGTGTGGGCTCTAGAGTTAGAATCCTGAATTTATATCCTGACTCTAACATTTGTTAGCTGTATGATTTTGGGCAGGTTATATATCTCTTAATCTTTAATTTCCTGCTCTGTAAAATGGAGATCATAAGAGCATTCACCTCATAGGGTTGGAGGATTAAATTAGTTAACATACGTAAAGAGCTTAGAACAGTGTTTGGCACATGGGAAATGCTTAGTAAAGTTAACATTTATTATTGTTATAATTATCTCATACAACTTTCTAATTGATCTACCATTAGTTTTGCCTTACTTCGTATTTTCATTCAAGTTGTTTTCTTAAAACACAATCTGATGAAGTCAAACCCATTGCTTGGCCTCACACCTGTAATCCCAGGACTTTGGGAGGTCCAGGAGGGGAGGTCGTTTAAGCTTAGGAGTTCAAGATCAGCCTGGGCAACATGGCAAAACCCTATCTCTACAAAATTTAAAAATTAGCTAGGCATGGAGGCATACACCTGTAGTTTCAGCTTCTTGGAAGGTTGTGGTGGGGGAGAATGGCTTGAGCCTAGGAGTCAGAGATTGCAGTGAGTCAAGATTGCACCCTGCACTCCAGCCTAGGCAACAGAGCCAGACTCTGTTTAAAAAAAAAAAAAAAAAAAAAAAAAAAAATCAAACCCACTGCTTAAAATCTTTAGATGACTTCTGTTGGCCTTTAAGATAAAATTCAAGCTTTGTTTAGCTATTGCAAACAGAGCTTTTGTGATTTATCCCTGTGCCTACCTTAACATTCTCATCTCTTGCCTATTTGGTAGAGGTCATATAGAAAAGCTCTTTTAACAGCTACATGCTTTGTCACGGATCTGCCTGGAATGACCCTTTCTCTAAGCAGTCTGGATAGCTTATTCTGGAAGTCTTAGTTCTACTTCCACATTTTAGGAAGTATTCCCATCTCCATCAAAACAGAGATTTTCTTCCTTCTCTGATCCAAAATGATATTACTTACAGTATTATTTTATAATTATTCCTTTACTTATTTTAAGTAGGTGATGGTCTCATGAAAAGTGGAGGTATTTTGGTTATCTATTTATCCCCTGTGCTTTGCCCATAATGAGCACTCAATGTTTTTTGAACATATATATTAAATGAAGGAGGGAGAGATGGATGAAATATTTGTTATGCCTGTAGAAATTTATTTACATTTGGCCAGACGCAGTGGCTCATGCCTGTAATTCCAGCACTGGGAGGCCAAGGCAGGTAGATCACTTGAGTTCAGGAGCTTCGGACCAGCTGGGCCAATATGGTAAAACCCTGCCTCTACTAAAAATACAAAACTTAGCCAGGCGTGGCTGCACGCACTGGTAATCCCAGTGACTCAGGAGGCTGAAACAGGAGAATCACTTGAAACCAGGAGATGGGGGTTACAGTGAGCTGAGATTATGCCATTACTTCAGCCTGGGCGACAGAGTAAGGCTCCGTTTCAAAAAAAAAAAAAGAAAAAAGAAAGTTATTTATTTTATACTTTTTATTTTTTTCTCCTTCTTTTAAAATAATTAGGTGTGTTTGGAGCAGGAAAGAGTTATTTGCTGGCAGTGGTGATTTTGTTCTTTGTACAGCTGTTTGAAAAGAGTGAAGCTCCCAACACTGGAAATGCAAGGCCATGGAAACTTCTGATTTCTTCTTCTACGAATGTGGCTGTTGACAGAGTACTTCTTGGGTAGGCATGACAATTGCATTTAAGTAGCTAATGTTTTGGGATATTGTTGAGAGAGGTAACCCACTATGAGCCCTGAGCGTCCATGTAGTCTAGCTGGCTATGCCAAGAATGCAAGACCTTTGTCTCTGACCCGGGAGCCAGCAGCTATGAAATAGTAACGGGCTAACTAATTAGTATGTAAGTAGGATAAAATCAAAACCAAAACTGAAAATTTTGGCACAGTGATACTCATGCAAAAATTCAAGTTCAACCAAGAACATATAGGGCAAGAGACGTATTATTGGGGGAGGCAATCTGCCAGTGGCCCTGAGCATCCCTACTGGGATGTCAAGGATACAAGGCCCTGACCATTCTTACCCAACGCATTTGTCACAGTTTGTTTGCAATAAGCAATTTTGACGGATGAAGTAAAAACTGTCCCTCTAGTACAAAGAGTAGGCTTGCTTATTACTTCTAATAAGATAATGGATCCCCAACCTCAGTGTTCTTGCCCTACTCCTCAACCCACGGTATGTGCAGGCATCTACCTGGACCCTGTTTTCAGTCTCCCCATGTGACTTGGAAGCCAAGGGAAACCAATGCAGTTATGTTGATGATTATACTGCTTCTTGTGCCTGTGCTCTTGTCTCTGACCAGGGAGTCTTGGGTCTATTACCTTAGAAGTAGGTTAAAATCAGGCCGGTGTGGTGGCTCAAACCTGTAATGCCAGCACTTTGGGAGGCCAAGGCAGGCAGATTACTTGATGTCAGAAGTTCGACACCAGCCTGGCCATCATGGTGAAACCCTGTCTTTACTAAATATACAAAAAAAAAAAAAAAAAAATTAGCCAGGCATAGTGGAAGGTGCCTATAATCCCAGCTACTCAGGAGGTTGAGGCAGGAGAATTGCTTGAACTCAGGAGATGAAGGCTGCAGTGACTTGAGATTTCACCGCTGCACTCTAGCCCGGGTGACAGAGGGAGACTCTGTCTCAAAAAAAAAAAAAAACAAAACTTAAGTAAATTATGTTTTTTATTTCAATAAGAGGGATGCAAAGAAGATAATAACAATCTGTTCTGAAGGTAATTTTTGTGATTGCATGACTTTATTAAAAATGCAAAGATGTATTACAGTATTTCACCAACATTCCAATGTTTAATTATCTGAATTTCAACATAAATGGCAAAGTTTGATTAGGAGAAACACTTCATTATTTTTAAGTCTAGGTTTTTTAAAAATTAATTTTCATAATCATACAAGTTGATGCTTATGTAGAATATATGCAGACTACACAGATGTTTAATCATATTTATTTACAGATTTTTAAATACACAAACACACACACACACACACACACACACATATTTGGTTTTCCAACTTTGAGATTCAATAGTATGTGGTATTTTGTGTCCTGCTTTTTTTTATTTAAAAAAGGTGGCTCACGCCTGTATTCTCAGCACTTTGGGAGGCTGAGGCAGGCAGATCACTTGAGGCCAGGAGTTCAAGACCAGCATGGCCAACATGGCGAATCTCCATCTCTACTAAAAATATAAAAATTAGCTGGGAATGGTGGCACACATCAGTAATATTCCAGCTACTCAGGTAGCTGAGGAACAAGAATCACCTGGGAGGTAAAGGTTGCATTGAGCCAAGATTGCATCACTGCACTAATGCCTGGGTGACAAAGTGAGACTCTGTCTCAAAAAAAAAAAAAAAATCTTAGAAAACATATTTTTTTATAACTTATATTCAGTGATTTGCTTATACCATATTTTAAGCAATTTTTGATCAGTAAATTATTTCCAAATTCTTGTCAGTATGAATTATATTATGACAAAGATCCTTAAACATAAAACTCTGTATCCATTTTTGATTCTTTCCTTAGGAATATAATCCTAAGCCTAGAATAAACGATACGAAAACTTTTAAGCTTCTAAATATACTTTTCAAAATTTCCCTTCAGAAAGATTCTTCCAGTATACACTCTTATAAGTAATTTAAAAGAGTGGCTGAGGACAATGTTTGTTTGTTTGTTTGTTTTTTAAATAAAGATAATGAGGAGTTACCTGGAGTCTACACAGGAAAGAACTTTAGATTGCTTAGCCCAAGATGAAAATTTAACTGTAGACTGTTAGAAAACAAAACAAAACAAAAAAAAGAAGGTAGAATGAGGAGGGAAGGTAAATACTCAATACTAAAAGTTAACAGGAAACATATAAAAGAGATTCCTTAATGCTTAAATCTCTGATGAGGACCTGAGAAATGTGAATCTCTAATTAGGATCTAGCCTCAACTGCTTACTCTGGTTTTATATGGGTTTTCACACTGAAATAACATTTTCGTTGTGTACTCGAACAGTATTTTCCTGTTGTAATGGATGGAACAGTTTCTTGAGAAGAAATGAAAGAGCATGGGGTGAATAGTACTTTGAGGAGACTTTACCCTTTATTATTATAGATTTAACAAACGTGCACTGGAAAAAAATTGTAAACTAGAATTTCAGCCTGTTAAGTAGCTATTATTATTCAAGGTGAAGACTGTGAAAAATGTAACAATTGAATCTATTCATATATTGACACTAAATAGTTTGTTTCATAATTATTTTGGAATATTATTTTTAGAGAGCTATAGTTTAGTTCTCCAGCTCTTTAAATTCCCATTTTGACATGGTGGAAGAAGTTTTGGAGGGTTGGGCATTCACTGAGTTCCGGTTGTGTTCCCAGCATAGTGCTAGAGCTGTAAGATATATAAAAGGGGAAGTGTAGGTGAGGGGGTCCTTCCTCACAAAGCCCTAACTGGAGGGTAACGTATGTAGAGAAATGATCATAACCTTTGGATGTAGACAGAGTTGCCTGGGTTTGAATCATGATACCTCACCTCTAAGCTTGGGTCCTCATCTCTAAGAGGAGATATCATCTAGAGCTGTAGTGAGGGTTAAACAATATAACATACGTAAAGAGGCTCTTCCTAACAAATCTTGGTGCTAAGTATAAGGTAGCCATTGCTTGCTTTATTATGTTTCTAGAGGAAATTTTATTTGTGATAAATACTAACATTGGTATTTTATGAACATTTAATGAGCCTTCAAGATGGAATAATGCATACTTAAAAATTCTCTAGAAAATGCCTTATGTTTAAAAAACCAACTACGTTGCATTTACTTTATATGAGTTTAGGTATTTCACATTCAATTTTATAATTAAAATATACTGTTACACAAAATTAATTGTAATAACACAGTTATTATTTGAAACTTTATATTCTGTTTCCTAAATAATCAGAATCTACTTTATATTGTTTTCTTATTTAAAGGCTTCTCAGTCTTGGATTTGAAAACTTTGTCAGAGTTGGGAGTGTTAGGAAGATTGCCAAACCAATTTTACCTTATAGGTAAGAATGCAAAATTCCAGAAGTCACAGCATGGTCAGAGGGAAATATGGTAATTTCATATCACTCTTACCTTAAATTTGATTTTTGAAGAATGGAGAAAGGCTTATCTTTTCTTGGTTAACTTAGAAAATCTGTATTTTGTTTTACTGTGATGTCATGAAAAATGGAATAAAAAGGAGTGTTTTTTGTATAATTCTTTAGCTTACATGCTGGCTCAGAAAATGAAAGTGAACAATTAAAAGAACTACATGCACTAATGAAAGAAGACCTGACTCCTACAGAAAGAGTCTATGTGAGAAAAAGCATTGAGCAGCATAAACTGGGGACCAATAGAACCCTGCTGAAACAGGTAAGAAGTAATAGCTTCAATTTGTTTCTTGGTTTATATATGCTATTCAGATTCTCTTATTTTTGTTGGTGAATAAATATTTCCTTTAAATAAAACAAACTGCTGTGATAGCTTAGATTCTACTAAGGTGCATGTATGTGTATCCTTGGATATAGTCTACCTGGTGTATGTTTTATGTTTGCTTCAAAGCATTCTTCACATTCATGAGTATCTCTAATTCACCATGGCTGAGTCATCCTTTCTCCTCCCTTTTTACTTTCTTTTCATAGGCTTGAGGAGGAAAGTATAGAGGTGGGAATAGATTCCTTGCAAGTTAAATAAAATTGGTTGTATTCTAAGAGAAATAGTGATAGAGAAGGTCTGACCCTGAGCAGAATATCCAAGTGAAATTTGTCTTTGATGCTGTCCAAGAAAGCTAAGACTTTTAGTGTTTGTGTATATCTAAGAATCCAGGTAGTTCAAACACTTCCAGGTATTGGGAGCCAAGACTAAGCACACAATATTCCAGGCTATAACAAGTAGCACCATCTCCTTTATCAAGTTTTGATCCAGGGAAGCCTGGGCATCAGCTGTTGGAAGAGAAAGAAATCAATCAGCAGCTTCCTCCTTTGAAGGGAGAGCATGGGGAAAAGCAGTGGGGATGGAGGAAAAGAAAGTTGTTGGCTTCCTGGACCACTTGCACATTGGCAACTTTATGCTAGAGATTTGAGAAAATTAGTCTACTTGGGACCCTGTATTGATAAACTATTGCTGAAATAATGAGGGTTAACAAACTCAGTCTCAGTACTTTAAGACAACAGCTTATGACTCTACGAGTCAAGTGGTATGGCTTGGACTGAGGCTATGGGTCAAGTCTGTCTTTCTGAGAACATTTGCTATGGCATGATCTTCTGACAGATGGCAGAAGTGCAAGAGGGCAGGACAGATCACAGAAACACATTTAAAACTTCGGCTCATATTATGTCTGCTGACATTCCATTTGCTGTAAGAGGTCACATGGCCAAGCCTAACATCAGTGAGGCAGGGAAATATACTCCTCTACTTCTCTGGTGGGAAGCACTGCCAGGTAACATGGCAAAGGGTGTGGATGTGTAATAATACTTTCCTAGGGAGGGAAGGAGAAACTGGAAATAATAACCAATCTATAACAAGTTTTGGTTCTGGAAGTCCTCAGAAAACTTCAGACTAACTTTCTATTATTTGAATTGCAGAGTTAACTTTGTATTCTCTTCTTAAACAAATCCAGAAAGGCTTAGTTTGGCTGTGTTCAATTAATACAAATTAGTAATTTATGTAGACTACTTACCATTTTATTCACCCAACATAATAATGATATGTAAGAATCATTCTTCTTATAAATCATTGTTAATGATTTCTTGGATGATTTTCTCAATGAAAGCCCAGTTACCATGAACTGTTGCTCATTGGTATCACCTCTTCACAAATGGAAATATTTTAGAGGAATTCTTTTTTTAGAAGTTTTCTCTGGTATTATTTCTAAGGTCCAGTCAGGCATTCTGACCTGACATAGTTTTTTTTTTTTTTTTTTTTTTTTGAGCTGGAGTCTCACTTTGTCACTCAGGCTGGAGTGCAGTGGCGTGATCGCAGCTCACTGCAACCTCCACCTCCTGGGTTCAAGTGATTCTCCTGTCTCAGCGTCCTGAGTAGCTTGGGACTACAGGCACCTGCCATCATGCCCAGCTAATTTTTGTATTTTTAGCAGAAATGGGGTTTCACCATGTTGGCCAGGCTGGTCTCAAACTCCTGACCTTAAGTGATCCTCCCACCTCCGCCTCCCAAAGTGCTGGGATTACAGGCATGAGCCACCGTGCCTGGAAGACCTGACACATTTCTAAAGTGACATGTCTTCACAATAAAACTAATTTTTAAAAATGCTTTATAGTTAATTAATACTTGCTAGGTCAGTAACAAAATCTTTTCTGCTGTTAGAATCTCAGAACGTAATAAATTAAAAGATTTTTTTTTAAAAGACTTAATATTTTAGGTTTCTATAATAGCTGTTTCTTTAAATTTAGTATAAGCTTTTTTATTTAAAATTTTCCTTTTTTTTACCTTTAAAACTTTTTTTTTTTTAATGTTGAAAGCTGAGATACAAAACACACACATTATTCTAGGCCTACCCAGGGTCAGGATCATCAATATCACTGTCTTCCACCTCTATATTCTGTCCCACTAGAAAGTTTTTAGGGGCAATAGGACACATGGGACAGTCATCGCTCATAATAACAATACCTTCTTCAGGATACTTCCTGAAGGATGTCCCTGAAACTGTTTTATAGTCAACTTTTTTTTTTTTTAATAAGTTAGGAGTGTATTCTAAAATAATAATAAATGTATACTATAGTAAATATATAAACCACTAAAATGGTCATTTATTATCAAGTATTATGAACTGTACATAATTTGTACATAATTGTATGTGCTATACTTTTATATGACTGGCAGTGCAGTAGGTTTGTTTACACCAGTATCACCACTAACACATGAATAATACATTGTGCTGTGAAGGTTGTGATGTCACTAGGGGCTGGGAATTTATTAGCTCCATTATAATTTTATGAGACCATCATCATATATCTGGTTCATCATTGACCAAAACATCACATTGTTTTGTGGTACATGACTGTATACGTATATGTTTGTGTGTGTTTATATACACGTATGTATACATACACACATATGTGTGTGTATATTTGAATCTTATAAGTTGCACATTATAGCAGGGTACCATTACTCTAAAGGCAAAAAACTTCACAAAAGCTGATTTTTAAACTCTAGAACTAAATGTGAACCATAAGGTAATCTAGGAATTTTCTAATTGGATGTGTGTATGTGTGTATGTGTGTATGTACACGTGTGTGTATAGATAGTGGGCTACTAGGCCAATGACCACATCTAATTAGAAAATTCATAGATTTCCCTGTTGTTTACATTTAGTTCTATAGGTTAAAACTCAGCTTTTGTGAAGTTTTCTACCTCCAGAGTAATGGCATGCTGCTATAATGTTTAACTTAAAAGATTCAAATATACTTACAGGCTATGAGTACATTTTATTTACTGTTGTTAAGAATTAGTTAGCCATCTTTACATTTTTAAATAAATAAAACTAATTTGCTTGAAGGCTAAGCAAAGAATATTTTGTTAGCATATTTAATGTTCTTTGTGAAGAACTTTGGCCTGTGTTGATTAACATATGTTGTCTACTTAACCTCATCTAGAAGATAATATATGTGTGTCACACTATTTTACAAATCCTTGATATTGTGATACTTTCCTTCTGAATATCAAAATGTGTCTTTTATTTGTTCTTGTTAATGAACTTGTGGCTTAAGTAACCTGCATTTGATGATTTCCATTTTGTATGTAGGAATAACGAAAATGTGGAGATATGATGACCTAAGATTTCTGATGGCTAGGAATTAAATTAGGACTAGTTCACTCTCTAATTTTAACCCACGAGTTCTTTGGTAAATACATTCTGTTATTTTCTCTTAATAGTTGTTAATTAATAACATTTTTGTTGTAATAAAGGTTCAAGTAGTTGGAGTTACCTGTGCAGCCTGCCCATTCCCATGCATGAATGATCTTAAATTTCCGGTAGTTGTGCTGGACGAGTGTAGTCAGATAACTGAACCGGCCTCTCTCCTTCCCATTGCAAGGTAACCTATGAGATTCTTTCCCCAGGGGTACTCAGATGTCACAATTATATCAAACATTTCTGCAGTTCAATCCTTTACCAAACTTTTGTGAAAATTCTTAACAATTTAAATACTAAACTGATTTTTAAAAAGAATACAGAGGGGAATTTTAGGAGGTTGATATGTTAAAGTTTTATTAGATCACCATTTAGACGTTTGGATGATATACTATAGCACTAGTGCTAGGATTCTAGCAGAAACTTGCAGATTTCTCAACTAGATTAAAAGTGCTCTTTAGGCTGGGCATTGTAGCTCAGGTAGATTACTTGAGACCAGGAGTTTGAGACCAGCCTGGCCAATATGGTGAAACCCCATCTCTACTAAAATTATAAAAATCAGCTGGATATGTGTAGTGCATGCCTGTAATCCCAGCTACTGGGAAAGCTGAGACATGAGAATCACTTGAGCCTGGGAAGCAGAGGTTGCACTGAGCTGAGATCATGCCACTGCACTATAACTTGGGCAACAGAGCAAGACTCTGTCTCAAAAAAAAAAAAAAGTGCTCTTTAGTCATGGTTTAAGAACCTAACTCCATTGTTGAAGAATGTCCTTCAGTTTTCTTACCTTAATATAATCCAAGTGTTTAGGTTTTGTAAATAATTTTAGACGATGAAAACATGTAAAGCATATAAAGAAAAACAAATTAAAAATAAAAATTTGTCTGCTAAAACTAGAGGACCATGAAATCTTCAAAGCTGTCTTAGCCAATTGAAATGTTGTGCTTTTAAAGCATCTATCATTAAGGAATCCTAAAGGTAATGAAAAGAATACTAGACTAGGACTCAGTAGGTCTGAGTTCTAGCCTATGCTGTGTCCCCATTTAATGAGAGAGTAAGGTACTAACTATCATGGTTTGCTTGGGACTTGGAAGATTCCTGGATCATGGGGCTTTCAAATTTTAGGATGAGTTGGTTATCCTTCTCAGGGGCCAAGGATGAAAGAGCTGCAAAGGGTAGGGGAGTAATACTTGTTGAATGCCTACTATATACTAAACACATTACGTATTTCATTTAATCCTTAAAATAGACACACAAGTTATTATTACCTCCAAGTTACTAACAGTACTGAAGCATAGGCTGGGTAAAGTGGCTCACACCTGTAATCCTAGCACTTTGGGAGGCTGAGGCAGGTGGATCACTTGAGTCCAGGAGTTTGAGACCAGCTTGGGCAACACGGCAAATCCCCTTTTCTACAAAAAATACAAAATTAGTTGGGCATGATAGTGTGTGCCTAAAGTTCCAGCAACTTGGGAGGCTGAGGTGGGAGGATTGCTTGAGCCCAGGAGGTCAAGGCTGTGGTGAGCAGAGATCACACCAATACACTCTAGCCTGGGTGACACAGAGTAAAACCTCATCTCAAAAAAAAAAAAAAAAAAAAAAAAAAAAATAATAATACCGAAAAAAGAAAGGATTAAATAACTTTCTTGGTCTTCAAAGAAAAATGGGAGTGGATTTTAGGTAAAGTTTTTTTTTTTTTAAATAAAACTTTGATTTTTTTTTTTTCCCCACTGTATCCTACTGCTATTTAGGAAGACACTTAACTCCTAAGAACCCAATTTACTTCACTTCTAAAACAAGGGTTTAAGCTAAATGACTTCTAAGAAAGACTCTAATTCCAAGAGTTTATGGAGTCTAAAAACCAGTATTTCCCAAATATGCTCTGTGAAATATTAATTCCATGCAGAGGCAAGGTGCACCTACTAGGTTTTATGTGGGAGGACGATAACTAAATTATGTAAAAGAGTCTTCATTGCATAGCTTTTCAAAGCCTTTAATGCAGTTAATAGCACTACTAAGCTTTATTGGTACTCAGGATACTTCATAGCATTTGAATATTTCAAAATACAGTTTTGGCAAACAGCGCAATAAATGATGTTAATGCACTCTTTTTAATTGCTTAGATTAATTTTTGAAATTCTGTTTTAGGTTTGAGTGTGAAAAACTGATTCTTGTTGGGGATCCCAAACAGCTACCTCCTACTATTCAGGGTTCTGATGCAGCTCATGGAAATGGATTGGAACAAACTCTTTTTGATCGACTTTGCTTAATGGTACCTACTGCTAAATTCTTACAGAATTATCATTTATTGATTATACATTGTGTGCATGTGTTGATAGAGAATGAAAATGTTAGAAGACTTAGTCCTGTGTCAAAATAATGTATAATTGGAGTATAACATTAGTTGTACTCCAATTAATTAATAACATTTTTGTTGTAATAAAGGTTTACAAAAAAGTCAGGTGGAACCCTACAATTTAACTGCCCTTTTATAAAGAATTTTTTCCTTATTTACTTGAGTAATGGGTAGGAGTATATGGCTTTTGCTCTAAAACCAAAAAAAACCTATAATGCCTCTATTATCTACATGGAACACTACACATTGCAAATAATTTTTAAATTAATTATTAACATTTTTAAATTGGAGTGGAATTTACCGTTTTAGTCTATTTTGTGCTGCTATAACAGAAAAGCCTCAGACTGGGTAATTTATAAAGAACAGAAATTTATTGCTTATAGTTCTGGAGACTGAGACATCTAAGACCTGGGACTCGCATTTGTTAGGGGCCTTCTTGCTTTATTGTCATTCTGTGGTGGAAGATGGAAGAGCAAGAGAGTGCAAGAGGCCAAACTCATCCTTTTATGAGGAACACACTCGTGATAATGGCCTTAATCCATTAACCCACACACATACACCAGGAATGGCATTAATCCATTCACAAATCCATCCTTTTATGAGGAACCCACTCATGTGATAATGGCATTAATCCGTGAGGATTAGGCAGAATCCTTATGGCCTAATCACCTTTTGAAAGTCCCACCTCTCAACACTGTTGCACTGGGGATGAAGTTTCCAACTCATGAAATTTGAGGGACACATTCAAACCATTGCATTCATGTAACATAAAACTATTTCTTAAATTTAAAAAAAAATTTTTTTTCTTTACAGCATGTGGTTTACATAGCAGAAACTATTTTAAAGTGAACAGTTTAGTAGCATTTAGTACATTCACAGTTTCTTGTGTAACCACTACCTCTATCTGGTTTCAAAATGTTTTCATCACTTCAAAATAATCTCCCCTACCCATTTAGCAGTTAACTGTCCATTTCCTCTTCCCTACAGCTTCTGGCAACCACCAGCCTGCTTTCTCTCTGTATGGATTTATCTATTCTGGATATATTATATAAATGGAATCATACAATATATGATCTTTTGTGTCTGTTTTCTTTCACTTTTTGGGGTTCATTCATATTGCAGCAGTACAGATACTATATTATTATTATTACTTTAGAGTACATTCATAATATTGTACAACAATCACCTGTCCATTTCCAGAACTTTTTCATTATCCCAGACAGAAACTTTGAACCATTAATCAATAATTTCTCATTTCCCCTTCCCTCAGCCCTTGGTAACATCTATTCTACTTCCTAGCTCTGTGAATTTGCCATTCTAGGTGCTTCATTTGAGTGAGTCATACAGTATTTGTCATTTTATGTCTGTCTTATTTACTTAGCAGAATGTGTTCATAGTTCATCTTTGTTGTACCATGTATCAGAATTTCATTCCTTTATAAGGCTAAATAATATTCTGTTACATGTATGTACTGCATTTCTGTTGATAGATATTTGGGTTGTTTTCACCTTTTGGCTCTTGTGAATTATCTGCTGTGAACATTGATATATATTTGCTCAAATCCCTGCTTTCAGTTCAATACATACCTAGAAATGTAATTGCTGGGTCACATGATAATTTTATGTTTAAAGTTTTGAGGAACCACCAAACTTTTTTCTGTAGCAGCTGCACCCATTTTACTCTCCCAACAGCAGTGTACAAGGGTTCCAAGTTCTCCACATTCTCACTAACACTTCTTGTTGGTTTTTGAATATCATAGCCATCTTAATGGATGTGAAAGTGAATCTCATTGTGGTTTCCCTAAAGAGTAATCATCTTGAGCATCTTTTCATGTGCTTATTGGCTATTTGTGTATCCTCTTTGAAGAAATGCCTATTTGAGTCCTTTGCCCATTTTTTAATTGGGTTGTTTGGTTTTTTTGTTGTTGAGTTATAGAAGATTTTAAAATATATATATTCTGGAAATTAATCCCCTTTCAAATATATGATTTGCAAATATTTTCTTCCATTTTTTTTTGGTTGTCTTTTCACTTTCTTAATAGTATCTTTGGATGCACAAAAGTTCTTAATTTCGATGAAGTTCAATTTACCTATTTTTTATTCTGTTGCTTGTGCTTTTGGTGTTCTATCTATGAAATTGTTGCCAAATCCAATGTCATGGAGATTTTTCCCAATATTTTCGTCTAAGAATTTTATAATTTTAGCTCTTATGTTGAGGTCTTTGATCTATTTTTAGTTAATTTTTGTATGCGGTATGAGATAGGGATCCAACTTCATTCTTTTGCATGTGGATATACAGGCTTCGCAACACCATGTGTTGAAATGCTATCCCTTTCCCCCATTTAATTGTATTAGAACCTTCATAAAAAATCAGTTGAGCACATATACAAGGGTTTATTTTTGGACTTTCTATTCTATTCCATTGGTCATTGGCTTGTAGATGCCACCTTCTTACTGTATCCTCACATGGCAGAGAGAGAGAGAACACTGTTTCTATACAAACTATACAACTGTATAAATACTGTGTTTATATAGTTGCCATTCTTGTTTCATTTTCTGGCGTTCATGCTTGGATATCAGATGCTCTCTCAGATCTGTATTCTTTGTTTTCTCAGTACCCTGAAATTATGGTAATGTCTCACCAAATTGATAGGACATCTGAGGCCCAAGAGTATCCCTCCTCTGGAAAAGGGACACAGCTCTTGAGCCTTCATTTCTACTAAAAACTGCCCAGTTCACGTTCCCTTTTTCATTATTATTCTTAGGAACCATTACCATCATATGAATTCTGGCTCACTATGCTGCATTTTCCCCTTCCACCCCAGAATTTTGTTTCTTTCTTGATGACTAGCACTTTTTGAAGTTTATAACATTGGGTTGGCTGTAAACCTTTCTTGGTTGCATAATTGCTGAATTTTTTTGCTGTTGTTTTTGTATTTTTTGTACCTTTATATATTGGAGAATAGATTCTGCAAGACAGACATTCTTAATTAAGAAGTTCTCCCTTAGATTGAGTTTCAAGTTGCATTAAATTTTGAGTTCAATTGTATTCTGTTTTGCGAAGAATGAAGCCTTCAGTTGTCTTGAGCTGTTGTGATTGAATTTAATTGCAAAACTTTCTACTCTTCTGTGACAAGGCAGTGTCCAACTTCTTTTGTATCAGACTTTTTCAAGGGCTTTTAAAAAAATCTTAACTAAAAAAAAATCTTTAAAAAGGGCTGGGTATGGTGGCTTAGGCCTGTAAATCCCAACGTTTTGGGAGACTGAAGTGGGAGGATCACTTGAGGCCACGAGTTCGACACCAGTGAGGCCACAAGTTCGATACCAGCCCTCGTATTAGACTGAGACCCCGCCTCTACCAAAATTTTTTAAATAAAAAGTTATTTAAAGTTTTAAAACATTTTTGAATAGGTAATATAGTCATATAGTTCAAAATTCAAGAGGAACCAGAAAACGTGGAGATAGTGAAGACTTCTTCTCCTGTCTCCCAACTATTAATTCTCTTTCCTCCAAAGCAACTGTTGTCCCTTTCTTGTACATTTCTTGTGATATTTTATACCATTGTAAGCAAATACATAAGATTTTCCCTTCCTGTTTTAAAAATGGTAGCGTACTCTGTATACTGTTCTGGCCTTTTTCATGTACCTATTGTCAATGCCTTTTAAAATATTAAGTAGGTTTTTATTTGGGGGAATTCTAAAAGGGCAAACAAGGGATGAAAAAAAAGTGGTTTAGTCACAGAGTAGAATAAAAAACAGTTACTATGGATGAGCTTGATCCATATAGACAGTTCTCAGAAACATAGTGGATGTTGGAAGAAGCAAACGCAAAGGGATAATTGTAGTAAAATGCCATTTATGAGAATTTCAAAAGCACATGAGATAACATGTTATTCATAGATTCATACCAATATAATAAACATGATTCCACAAAACAAAATCAAGACTGGGGTTATTTCTGGGAAAGGTGGTAGAGGAAAGCAATGAAGGAGGATCTTTAGCTATATATGTCATATTTTATCTAACAAAAGAGAGAGCCAAAACAAAAATGACTTAATATGGCTAATGTCAAGTCCTGGTGGTAAGTTCATGGACATAATATTATTTCTTTGCTTTCTGTATATTTGAACTAGTTCACAATTATTAAAAGTAAGAGAAATAAAAGTACTACTCATTACAGAGTAGTAATTACAGACAGTGTGGAAACTGCAGAAAAGAGAAAAGGCAGTCTGGGTGTGTTGGCTTGTGCCTATAATCTTTAATCTCAGCTGCTTGGGAGGCTGAGGTGGGAGGGTTGGTTGAGTTCAGGAGTTCGAGGCTGCAGGGAGCTATGATCTTGCCGCTGAAAGAAAGAAAGAAAAGAAACGAAGGAAGGAAGGGCAAGAAGGAAGAAAGACAGGAAAAGGAAAGGAAGGAAAGAAGGAAGGAGAGAGAGAGAGAAGAAAGGAAGGAAGGAGAGAGAGAAGAAAGGGAGAGAGAGAGAAGGGAGGGAAGGAGGAAGGAATGAAGGAAAGGAGGGAGAGGGGAGGGAGGGAAAGAAAGAAATAGATAAATCTGGGTGGGGTGTCAGACACCTGTAGTCCCAGCTACTCAGGAAGCTGAGGCAGAAGGATCGCTTGAGCCTGGAGGAGTTTGAGGCCAGCCTAAGCAACAGCGAGACCCTGTCTCAGAAAAGAAAGAAAAAAGGTAAAAACAAAACAAAACATCTGTAATAACCTCACTGGCCTTAAGAGAAAACTCTTTGTAAGATTTTAGTATTTTTCCTTCTATCTTTTATCCTAGGGTATATACCTATATCAAATACATGTATTTGTACATAGTTGAAACCATACCATAAATATAACTTAATATAGAATATAAATATAGAGTCTTGCTTTGTTATCCAGGCTGGAGCGCATAAATATAGAGTCTAGTGCATAAATAGCTCTGTCGCCCAGGCTGGAGTGCAGTGGTACCATCTCAGCTCACTGCAACCTCTGCCTCCCAGATTCAAGCAATTCTGCTTCAGCCTCCCAAGTAGCAGGTTTTAAGGTTCCTGCCACCATGCCTAGCTAATTTTTGTATTTTTAGTAGAGAAATTTTTGTATTTTACCATGTTTGCCAGGCTAATCTTGAACTCCTGACCTCAGGTGGTCTGCTTGCCAAAGTGTTGGGATTACAGGGGGCATGAGCCACTGCGCCCACTCTGAGCAGAGCATTTTTTGTCTTTCAGCATTTTTATACTTGACATTTTTGTCAGCAGTTTCACTTGCTTGCTGACTTGGACTTACAAACTTAGACAAATGTATGCCCCAAAGAGTACTATCATTGATTTTTCCTTTTTTTTTTTTTTTTTTTTTGCCATAGAAGATTCTTTCTCCTTGTGGTCATTAATCCTGCATTTAATTATATATGTATTATTATTAGAGTACCTTGTAGCTATTCAAAATGTTTTAACGACACTATAGAACTCTTTGCTCGAAAAGCCCTAAGGTAGATAGAACTTGGATTTTATGATGCATTAACAAAATCTGAAACTTCTTTGAAGATCCAGAATGAAAAATGGCGTTTACTCAATGAGGGAAGTTAATGAGATATCTACAATACCTCCTAATTTTTTAAAGAGAATCTTAGTGTTAGACCAACCCCAGATAAATTATAAAAGGATAATATTGGCTGGGTGCGGTGGCTCACACCATCACTTTGGGAGGCCAGGGTGGGCAGATCACCTGAGGTCAGGAGTTCAAGACCAACCTGGCCAAAATGGTGAAACCCTTTCTCTATAATAATACAAAATTAGCTGGGCATGATGGTGGGTGTCTGTAATCCCAGCTACTCAGGAGGCTGAGGCAGAAGAATTGCTTGAACCCAGGAGGTGGAGGCTGCAGTGAGCTGAGATCATGCCATTGCACACCATCCTAAGCTACAGAGTGAGACTCTGTCTAAAATAATAATAATAATAATGATGTTAGGTGCCAAACTTATTCGATAAGTCTAAGGTTGACATTTTTTACATTTTATAATTTTCTAATTTAATAGTTTAATATGAACATATTTTTAGTAATTTAAAAATATTTTTATTTATAGTCTATTCTATCATGGTTGTAATTCATCTCCTAAGACCACAATATAGCAATATTTTTAATATTAAAAATATAATTTTGCTTTCCCTAGAAGAATAAAAAATGTTATGTTTTAATTTCTTATTTTTCTTCATTTAAATTCCTTAGGGTCACAAGCCAGTTCTGTTGAGAACTCAATACCGTTGTCACCCTGCAATCAGTGCTATTGCTAATGATATGTTTTATGAAGGAAACCTCATGAATGGTGTGACAGAAATAGAGAGGAGCCCTTTATTGGAATGGCTACCAACCCTGTGTTTTTATAATGTTAAAGGACTAGAACAGGTAAATGACATTTATGTTGAAGAGAGTCAACATGGTTTAGGTTCCTGGTTTAATTTTTGTTGTTGTTTGTATGAATTTACTTGTTTTTTCCATAGCCTTTCTGGGAAATATAATTTAGGATCTATTTCTTACTCCAGCTAGAAAGAGATAACAGCTTTCATAATGTGGCAGAAGCTGCTTTTACACTCAAGCTGATTCAATCACTGATTGCAAGTGGAATAGTGGGCTCTATGATTGGCGTGATAACATTATACAAATCCCAAATGTACAAGGTTGGTATCATGTATTACAATATTTGTCATATATTAGATATTATAATTACACATTACCATATTTGATATTACATTTATAGTAGTTGGTTTGGCGCCTGAAAAACTTTTGGTACTATAATTAATGTATTAAAAAAGAAACATTCTGGTATTTTTTGGTCTGGCTTTTTTTCTGTATAATTAAATGTAAACTTAACAAGGTTTAATTAAATTTAGTTTACAGCTGTTGTGGCAAAAATGCAACAAACAAATTAGCGGGAAAAAATATGGTGTATGCTTTGTGGACAGATGGGATTGAATCTCTGTTATCCAAAATGTTCTTTTATTATTATTACATTTTATCAGTAAATCAAGGATAGATACAAGATGTTAATGTACACATAAGCCAATTACTTCTAACTAGATTTTTCTTTTTCCTTTTTTCATCTGTTTCATTATTAGTGTATCAGCTCCAAATTAGCATATCTGAATGAGTTTCCCAGCAGTAGATAAATAGCTTTTGATTTTGTGTTGTAAATTAATATTGTCACCTAGTCATTTATCATTTTAGAAACTAGCCCAGTCTATGTGAGTCATAAAAGAAAAATGAAAATTATTTACTATTAGTTAAGTTACAGTGGTTGCTTTGAGCAAGTTCAGTGGCTTAAGTTCTTCACAATCTCTCACTACATGATTGCTGTCTTTTCCTCCGCAGCTTTGTCATTTACTCAGTACTGTAGACTTTGACCATCCTGATATCAAAACTGTGCAGGTGTCCACAGTAGATGCTTTTCAGGGAGCTGAAAAGGAAATCATTATTTTGTCCTGTGTAAGGACAAGACAAGTAGGATTCATTGACTCAGAAAAAAGAATGAATGTTGCATTGACCAGAGGAAAGAGGCATTTGCTGATTGTGGGAAATTTAGCCTGTTTGAGGAAAAATCGACTGTGGGGACGTGTGATCCAACACTGTGAAGGTAAAATAAATAATGCACTCATTTCAAGGCCTAGCTGACTTTTATGGGCTAATGCTTGGGGTGCTACAAGCAGGAATAGCTCTGAATTTGCCACTGTGGGAAGTAACTGACATGATAATATTGGGACCTCTGTAAAATAAAGAATAGTTGTCTCATGTTATATATATTTATTTTTAAATAATCATATATAAGCATTTAGTTATTCAATGTTATATTTTTTTTAAGGAAGGGAAGATGGATTACAACATGCAAGCCAGTATGAACCACAGCTGAACCATCTTCTTAAAGATTATTTTGAAAAACAAGCCAAAGAAAAACAGAGGAAAAAGAGTGAAAAAAGATAAATATCATTCACAAAAGGCATGGTATAAATATTTTGTATTTATGTAAATTCAGACTCATTTTACACTATTTTTTATTATTTATTACTCTAAACTATTATTAAAAATGCTTTATGATATTTAAATAACATACTAAACAGATATAAAATTTTGTTCTTCAAAAAATGTACAGTACTTATATTAAGACAGGCAGATATTAAAGGTAGTATAAAATCCTACTAAAAAAATAAGTTTTTTTTCTAAGAAGAATGATTTCTGTTTGCTAACGAAATGGATTTTACAAAGGGCGGGATATGGAGAATGCCTACTTACTTCAATAATAAGTGAATGTCTCCAGAGCTTATCTGTTGGAACATATCTACACAATCAGATTACCAACACCTTTCTAAAACTTTAATTTTATGAGAATATTTTTCAAATGATTATAAGGCCTCACTATTTTATAAATAAAAATATATTCATAAATATGTGTTTATGTCTAAACCTTTTGAAAAGTACACAAAAGAAGAAAGAAAAGCACTAAAAGTTTACACCTGGAGATAGCAGTGTTCAACACCTGGCCTTGGCTAGTGATATAGATACGTGTAGGTGCTTAATAAGTATCCATTGAAAGAATGAACAAATGAATGAAAGTTACCTTTGGTTCTTTTTTTTCTACTCTTTTTCCTCTGCATTTGTTTGCACAGTAGGTATTGATCTATATATGTGGATTACAACTTTTTATTATAAAAATAATACATTATTCATGTAGAAAATTTGCAAAGTGCAAGAAAGTATACAACAGAAAACGAAAGTCACCTAGAAATACTCTACTGGGAGATAATCACTAACATTCCTTCAGTGTTTTTTCTATGCTCATATTCTATGTGTGTATATATAGTTAAGTTTTAAACCATTTGTGCCCATACTGATTCTTGGACATTATTAACAAAGGAGCATTTATACATCCTAGATGGAAAAATGACAAGGGCTTGATTATAATTAATATCAATACAATATTTTTACCAATTAAAAAAATCATAGTGATCCACGTCACTCAATATTCATTTGAAAGATGCAGGAAAATTCCTACTTGAATTATTTCACAATAAAAAAAAATGACTGGTCAGCCTCTATGGAACTCTTAGGGAGAAAAATAAATTCAATAATAAAACTTGTGCTTTAGTCATTCTCCAAGGCTTTTCCCAAATGTGTTACTGTTTGCAACAACAGTTGCTCTTTTAAGTGTTCATCCAAACTGTGAAGTGAAAGATGTAACTTCTAACAGATCCTTACAAAGCAGAAGGAATAGTTGAAGGAAGTATTACAGAACCGTGCTTTACCCATAAATCTAACTGACAACATACATTTAAACTGGATTCCTGAATTCTGCTGCCCAGACCTCCCTATTTTTTATTTCTTAATTTTGAGTCTGTTGGCCTGCTGGAGCTAGGTCTCAGGTAATTTATTTTCCTCAAAAAGTGTACATAGATGATATATCTTTTAAGGTTTTGTATATCTGAGGATGTATTTCTGTTACATACCCTTTTGAGAGCTATGTAAACACTATGTGAATTGCCCTTGGCTTCACTTACTGTTCATTTGGATGATAGTTGAATTTCTATCTCAGATCTATAGCTGGATGGCTGACTGATTTTGCACTATTCCTAGTCCAATTCCTACTAGCTTTTATCTAGACCTGCTCAGAGGCCCTGGCTCAATGTTCTACACTTGTGCCTGTGCTGTCATCAACTGCTCCCTACTCATAGCCTCTCATTTTGTCAGTTTTCCAGAAATTTCAATTTCTACCATGATGTAGGGAGAGGTCTTGATAGCATAGAGTAATGGCATTTTTAACATTTTTAGACCAGATAATTCTTTCTTATGGGGGGGCTGTGCTGTGCTCTGTAGCAGCATCCCTGGCCTCTGCCCACAAGTTGCCAGTGGCACCTTACCCCAAGGTTGTGACAATTAAAAATGTCTCCAGACATTGCCAAATATTCTGATGTAGAGGGTGGGTTCAGCATTCCAGCAATCTCAGAAAGCAGTAACTGCACTGAAAAGTATAGCTGCCTTATTTTTTGGTAGGTGTAAACCTTGTATTTTTGATGTTTAATAAAGGATTTTTTTTTTTTTTAGGCAAGCATGCCTACTCTGTTTCTACTGGCATTATATACCTAGTGTATCAATTTTATATCTTCAATCCAATTATATCATTGTAGCAGTTCATTACTGTTCCTCCCAATTTGTGACAATAATTGGTCAATGAGTGTCAAATATTTATCTTATGTGTTTTTATAGTTATTTTAATGTGACAGAGGCCACTGAAGCCTTTTCATTTATTTTTATTTTTATTTTTGTTTTTTGAGATGGAGTCTTGTTCTGTTGCCAGGCTGGAGTGCAGTGGCACAATCTCAGCTCAATGCAACCTTTGCCTCCCAGGTTCAAGTGATTCTCCTGCCTCGGCCTCCCAAGTAGCTGGGATAACAGGCACCCACCTCCATGCCGGCTAATTTTTGTATTTTTAGTGGAGACAGGGTTTCACCATGTTGGTCAGGCTAGTCTTGAACTCCTGACCTCAGGGGATCTGCCTGCCTCAGCCTCCCAAAGTGCTGGGATTACAGGTGTGAGCCACCACACCTGGCCCCTTTTTAAACAGGAACACATTGAAATCTTTAAAAGAACTTTCCATTCAACAACATTCCTCTTGTTTAGAACATAAGAAGTTAGTATAAATGTTATGGTGTAGAAGGTGGCAAAGAGATTGACAATATACTATGCTGCTATTTTTGCTAAGAGATTAGCCCTATCTTATAGCTACATACCTATTATTTCCCTGTTTCTAATTTATAGCATATTGTAATTAACAGAAAATTAAAACTCCATTAATAGAAAATATTGGTTTTGCAGAACCCCTTTCCATTTTTTCTAGCCCACCTGCATAGCTCACTAGATTAAGCACTGTTTTACACCAGGAACTTTAGAAAAGAAAAAGTAACAGTGGTGCAGAGGAAGAAATGGAAATGGTTTAGTCTCTGTTTCCATGCTGCCCCCATTCCATTAGTTTAGGATGGAGATTCCCACGTAGGGGAGAGGATGGAGAGGCTTTCTTTCACTCTGGGTGGACCTTACTCCATAGTGGATATGGTATTAATACTTTTGTCTCTGGTTTTAATCTTTCCCATTGTGGATTGGGTCACAGAATGTCATCCCAAAGTGTAATGTCAGCTACGGCAGGCCTGGCTTTTATCCAGGAGTCAGATCTTAGTGCTCCTGCTCTAGCTCCTGTCCATTAGAGCAGAGTCTTCACTCATTCCTTTTTCCCAAGGCTGTTACAACAGAAATGAGGTGAGAAACAGCTCTCACTTTCTTATTTCCTTCAAAGAACCAGTAAGGAAGCGGGAGATCTAAGGGCTCATCTACTTTATCTTTCTTAAAGAGATTAATAAATCAAAACATTCTTCTGATTGGGTGGTATTGACCATTGTGGAGTTGTTTTTGGCTCCATCATATATTTTGTGTGAAAACATACTGTCTGAACCCTGAATATTAATATGGTCTTTATATGTATTTCAGTGAGAAAAAGATAATAGAAATATTTGACATAAAAAAAAATCTCCAAAGCCCAGGCTAACACATTCTTTACTTTTTTCACCTCAAATTGCAAGGTTGGAAAGATACAAATTGAACTTTAAGAAAAGAAGCATCCCATTCAATAAGCAATCAAAATATTAAAGTTTCTTAGGATTTTATAATATACTCAAAGTAATAAGCCAGTTTTACAATTATAGCCATAAAATATCTATAGATAACAATAATCTTAAAACAATGTCTCCCAACTTGTGTTTAGTAAATGATAGGATTATATAAGAATGTCATCAAGATTTTAATTACATATTGAAATAGAATGAAATTTCTAGGCTTTACTCATCATTAATTGCTTACTTTATATAGCATGTGTATTGGATTTTTTTGTTTCAAGATTTTGTCACAAACATTTGCCCCAGTGGGGGTATAGGTATTTTCCCTATTCTGTAAATGATTAAGCCAAGGATCAGGGAAATTGAAGTGACCTACCTAATCTACCATGACTAGTATAAGGCAGGGCTGGAACCCAAGCTAATCCAACTCTGAGGCTAGGCTATACTGTACCACTTGTATTGTAAGTCGCTTTACCAAAAGGGTGAAAGACAGTGAAACCAAAAATGTTACAGTCCTCTTTGAGCCAACTAGACTCATGTCCTGATCATTTACCTTAGTTAATTTAGTATGTGACCATTTATTAACAATTTATTTGTTTGTTGTTGTTTTGTTTTTTTTTTTTTTGAGACAGAGAGGTTGGGTTTTACCATGTTGGTCAGGCTGGGCTCGAACATGTGATCTGCCCTCACTAAGCCTCCCAAAGTGCTGGGATTACAGGTGTGAGCTACTGTGCCTGGCCTATATGTTGAACAGCCTATACCTGCCTGGTAAATATAATTTTTACTAGAGAAATGAGTTTGTTTATTTCTCTTTGAATGCCTACATTTGCTACTATGAGATGTAGTTTGCTACTTAATGCAAGAGAAGTATTGATTTTTAACAAAAATGTATTTATAGCTGAACTGATGATTCTTAAAATTCTTGTAATTCTCAAAAGTAGGGGAAAAAATAATATACTTTGCTTTCCTCTGTAACCAGCTCCTGTCCTTATTCAAAATTTGAATTACTTGTGAAAAATTACAGGTTACTTGAGGTTATGGAGCTTAGCTTAAAATTTCAAAATAAATCATAACTTTTGGTATTGCTTTTTTATATTTAAACAAAAAAACATTTGATTTGGGGATGCCAAAGCAAACCTGAAATGCAGCTTGCTCTTGACTATGGCTTAATTTAAAGACAGCTGTGAAATATCTTTATACTAATTAGATTAGTTTATATTAAATAAGAATGAACTGGAAATTGGTGATTTACTCGACAGATATTGGACCTTGAAAATTAAATAATTGTTCTAAAAACATTAGATCAACACTGATTTGAAATGCCTGCTTTGTAATTAGTCATGAGTGAAATGTGTGTTTAGTTCAAGTTGTGTGTTTGGTTTACATTAGCATGACTTGATTATAAAGTAAAGGAAAAATATTAACCAAAGGTCTCTGCAGTCCTCTTAGTTTCTCTCATCCTGAAACACTAGTTAGATTGATTTTTAAAAATTCTCTGTGAGTGTCTAAATTATTGCAAATCTAGTCCTGATAATAAATGAAGATGTATGTATGCATGCTTGTATGTGTGAAAAATCAGGAAGCAGTCACCTTGCAGGCTAAAGAACTGGTAGAGAGAATTTCCTAAGTGAAAGTTTTAGGGTACCTATGGTAGCTAGCCTCTTTAAAGACTGATATAGTTCATTTGATTATGATGGATTTGTGGCTTCTTGGAATAGAACTAATTATTTCTTTGGTGCCATTAAAGTCGGTGCATTCATTGAGCATCTACTCTGTGGCTGGCCCTTTGTGCACAACAGGCATATGCAGTTTGTTTTATGTGTTAGGCCAGGCATGGAGTGCAGGGCTAGTTATCTACCACTCCACCCCTACATGGGGCAAAGCAGAGCTCTCATTGATGGAAAAACTAAGGGGCATACTTGAAGCAAGAAGATCGGGCTCTTTTGCCCATTCTTTTGGAATGTGTACCACTAAATAAGAGCTAACGTGACCATGATGTCATCAGGAGCTCAATACTTTGTCTCCTACATCCTTAGGTTTCTTATATTTAGAGTCAATGTCAGGCTATGGAGTGTGAAGTAGAAGCTACATCTTTGAAGACCATGTAAGTCATAGAGAGGTAGAAGGATGGTTGTGAATGGAAGGGACTAACAGGTGGGGAAGACAATATGATTAACAAGTCCTGAGGCATGTAAAGATCCCAAGTCTTTCAGCACAGCTGTGGATGTATGTGTAACCAGCTGACCACTCCCACAGGTCTGTGACTCCTTTTAGGTATTATGAGCCCTATCCAGTGTTTTGAATGGATGATGATGACCTTCCTGAGCAACATGGTGACATCACATAAGAACAAAATTAGAGCATAAGGTCAAGTGTAATGAACAGCAAGCAGTCCAGTGTAATTTGATGAGTCTAGATGTTGTTGTATGATACCAGACATTGTTGTATGCACTATGTTTGCTGCCTAGGCAAGCAGACTGAATGTAAGGGACCAAGGACAAAATAGTGAACACACTGGTAAAGGAAATACATATATAACTTTAGTTCCAGTGGCTCTTCAGAATCATGTTTTGCTTTTGTAATTTGAGA